GAGAGAGAGAGAGAGAGAACATAGCTCTTTTAGTGATTAAGACGTGGACAAGTGAAAATACGTAAAGTTTTCTAGATTTAGTTTTGTACCTAACGACCAAATGTCCGATTTATAGCCATAGGGGATATCAGCAAGGAGCTCCGGGCACATATAATTGGGTGTTCCCACAACCTGGTTTGAGGAAAACGAGGTTATTCGCCAACATTTGCGCAAAATAAAGTTACAGTCGTTAAAAAGAATCACTAGTCCAAGATTCGATTGCCACATGAACTCTTCATTTAAAATTACATTTGCCCAATTAATTTTTAGTACGAGTAATAATACTCTTAAAAGTGGATATTTCATTTTTTGGAGATGTAAAAGTACAAGCTATAAACAGTTAGAACAATAGAATGTGAAATTAATGTGATTGTGTTGTTCATACCGAAGAAGCAAGACCACCATCATCGAGAAGTTTTGCCAACCCAAAATCACCTGTAAATTGAATACAGTTAGCAAGCTGAAGAATTAAGGAGTGTATTAAAACTGAGTTTTTCCAAGGACTTGCTTTGGCCTACTTACCAAGACGTATATCATTTTCCTTTGTGAGAAATATGTTGGATAACTGGAGTGGCCAAAAAAGGGAAAAGAGAAAGAAAACGAAAAGAAAAGATTACTTACGTAAGAAAACGATGAAATCAGTAAATGGTATCTTGATTATATCTGATACTAGAAATTAGAATCAAACCTTTAGATCCCTGTGAAGGACACGATTAGAGTGGAGATAGTCGATTGCTAACAACAATTGAGTTAGCCACTTGCATATTTTCTAGAGCAAATATGAAAAATGTTAACAAAAATTCAGTGTGTGTTGGCTTAATGTGGGTAATGGTGATAAAATCACTATTTTTTTAATAGGAATATTAAACCAAATCACCTCCTCCAGAAAATATGCCCCTCTTGTCCTTCTGATTATCTCGGACCTGCATAATAAAAGTAAAAAAGAAAAAGTTTATAAATGCAAGAATAAGAAACTTCACCATGATTCGACATGCAAGTACACAAGTGGAAATATAATTGAAAAAAATTTACTTGATTAACCACAAATAATAGCTTTGAGGATTATCAGTTATATGCCGGACTACAAATGCCCCCTCCATATCTGTTTATATTTTACAAAACTCCTTAAGAAAAAGATGCTTGTGAAACCAAATACAAAGTTAATATAGTTATTGTAGAAGCTTAAAGGTAGTCATCCATATGAAGAAACTTCCATGAAAAAAAAAAAAAAAAAAAA